TGGCCGTCCAAGAAAATTGGCCTCAAATCAACGTCGCCATATTGGAAAAATTCTGCAACATAATCATTTTACTACAGTAGGTGAACTTAAGGCCAAATTGGAAGAAAATGATCCCAACCTTGATGTTAGTGAACATACTATATGTCATGAGCTTAAAAATCTTGGTTATGTTTCTATTCTTCCAAGAAAGGTTCCTCTCTTGATCCAAAAAGTGAAGGATTTTTGGTTGTCTTGGTCACGTGATCATTCGCGTTACAATTGGAAGAAAGTTGTTTTTTCTAATAAAACAATACTCCAGATGTTTAGAAATACCATGTGTGTATGGTCTCATAATGCATAACCAATTGCCCTCATGGTAAAGCATCTATTCAAGGTTTATGTTTGGTGCTAAAGGAAAAATTGGCATTCATTTGTTTACTGAAAATTTGGATTGTCATTTGTATCAAAAAATCTTGGATAACCATCTGTATGACAACGCGAGTATGATATGCGGTCGCAGCTGGGTCTTCTAACAAGATAATGATCCAAAACATACCTCACAAGATGTTCAGCGTGATTTGAAAAAACATCTTCCAGGATGAGTTCTTTCTTGGCCTTTTTATAGCCCAGACTTGAATCCTATCGAAAATGTATGGGCTGTATTAAAGGGAAAAGTGGAGAAAAAGGTCAAATATTTAGTGGCAAAAAAAAAAATATTACCTGCGATGTATTCCTTAATACAATCTGGCAGGAATGGGACGATCTTAATGATGCCATGTTACTTCGATGCATTGAGAGCATACCAAACCAGGCTAAAGCATGTATCAATGCAGAAGGAGGATACACCAAATATTAATTAAATAATAAAAAAGTAGCCGTTAGTGATTGTCTTGTAAATAAATAAAAAAAATTACAATAAAAATAAAGTTAATACATACCATAAAAATTTATTTCTGCCATTCTTTTCACCGGGGACTGTACTTCTTATATTAGAAATATTCGTAAGTATTACATGTTCTATAGTAAAATTTGATTAATATAAACGGAATCTAATATTTTGACGTAGAACAATCAAATTTTTATAAAATACATCTATTAGGATTGCTATAATGCAGTGTTCACCAAATGATTATGACTAGCAAATGACTCAAATAACAAATGACAAATGACCTGTCATTTCAATTATCAAATGACCAGTCATTTCAATAATTTTTAAATATAGCATATTTTATAAATTTTTATTATTTATTTTGTTTATTATAGTGTAAATAAGTTAAATTTATTAAAATATTTAATTATATATATTAAAAAAATTATTTCATATTGGGCAAATATTTTATATAGTATATAATAGTATATTAAATTATATTCGAGTTCCAAATGAGACTCAAATTATGAGTCAGACAAGTCCAGTAAAGTTAAGTCAAGTGTTAAACTCGAGCTAAAAATTGAACAATTTTTTAGTTTCGTTCAAAAGGACAATTAAAAGAATCATTCTGATAGAATGATAGAAGAATCATTCTAAAGGAACAATTAAAAGAATTATTTCAATAGAATGACTAAAAACATTGTTTCAATAGAACGATCGAAGAATTATTCTAAAAGAACGATTAAAAGCATTGTTCTGATAGAACGATTGAAGAATTGTTCTAAAGGAACAATTAAAAGCATTGTTCTGATAGAATGATGATTTTTTTGTATCATTCCTTTAGAATGATCTTTATCGTCCTATTGGAACGATTTTTTGTATCGTTCCTTTAGAACGATGTAGTATCATCCTATTGGAATGATTTTTTTATCGTTCCTTTAGAACGACCTTTTATCGTTCTTAAGAAACAATTTTTTTTATTATTTCGATAAAACGATGTAGTATCGTTCTATTGGAATGATTTTTTTATCGTTCCTTAAGAATGACCTTTTATCATTCTTAAGGAATGATTTTTTTTATTGTTCTGATAGAATGATTTAGTATCATTCTTAAGGAATGATTTTTTTGTATCGTTCCTTTAGAATGATGTAGTTTTATTCTATTGGAATGATTTTTTTGTATCATTCCTTTAGAACAATGCTTTTAATCGTTCCTTTAGAACGATTTTTCTATCATTCTACCAGAATGATTTATTATCCTTTGGAACGATTATTTATCATTGGGAGATAAAATTTCGAAACTCGCTAAGAATTTGCGATTCTTTAAGAGTATCGCTAAATTTTTTGTAAAGCAAATGACTAAATGACAAATGACAAATGATTTATGATTATGACAAAGGAATAGACAAATCATTTAAATGGTTAAATGACCAGGTCATTTCCGAACACTGACTTAAACTAGCTATTTAGTAATTATAAAAGTAAAGCATATCTCATTAAAATCATCATGATGATTTATATTAAATGATAGTAAAATCATATTTTTAGCACTAAGTTTTTCTGGATCATCAATAATTTTTCAATTATATTCAATCACATTCAGTTTTAATATTTGTAGTTTAGGATAGTGATACCTACCTAAACTTTTTTTTGAAAAATTGTAGTTTCATCAAAAGGATTCATCTTTTTAATATTTTATATGAATAAATATAAAATTATTACATTTTTTAAATGTATTTTAATTCAAGAATTCAAATAAATTAAATATAATTTTAGCAATTAAGTAAATAATTTCATCATTAATAAAAAACTAGTTTTGTCATTTCATTTTCGTTAATTTCGTCATATTAAGAAAGGTAATTTTGTCAGTTATCACTAGTTTAGGATAATAATGTTATTTGAAACCTATTTTAACATGTAGCTTAAAAATTTAGAACTTTTTTGAAACCTTTAAATGATTTTTTTTAAATCTGAAACTTGATTAAACTTAATTGATTTTAGAAAAACCTATTAGATGTTTAGGTAAAGATATTTATTATAAATAAATCGTTTAATCTTAAATATTTCAAAACTCAAATTTCCCTAAAAATAGTTTAGGGAGGCATTTACCTTTAATATTATATCTCTTTTTATAACAATGATTAAAATTGAGTATACTTATATTTTGATATCTAAAAATTAAAAATAAAAGTGTTAAACGCCTTCAGGTATTAATCAATCTAATTTGATTTTTATTTGGATCTTAAAATCATTCTTTTTTAAAAAGTTTAAGTAAAGAAATGTAAATTGCCTGAAATGAAATAAATATGTACAACCAATACTCAAAATGGATACATCAACTATCAGGATTCAATCTAATATTTTTCAAATGTTAATTAGTACATTAAGAATACAAACTGTAATCACAAATGTTTTTTTCTATTTAGTTAAATCATTGAAAGAATAAAAGATTATTAATAATTTCTTTCCGAAAGCAGTTTATATGTGCAATGTAAAAGAATGACCTTAGTTATTTTTTATGAAACGAATATCGAATCAAATCAATAAATATAGTAAGTATATGGAAAATCAGTACTCAAGAACCTCGTACGACTTTATATCTAATTCAAGAAAAGGATATTGTTAAATATCCCGTTTTTTACCTATTAAAGTAAAAAATATATTCATCAACAGCGCATATTTTACACAAAATTATATCAGCCACATCATTAAATTCAAAGAAACTTATTCTCTACGCCTAAAAAATATTATTCTAAAAAAGCATTCGTTTATGTTAAAAAATGACATTTACAATTACACAAATTTGGTCATCAAAGAAAATTGTACTCCGTCATTTAACCAATTCAAAAAAATATACTCCTTTAAAAAGGTCGCGTTAGTTACACGACCTTTTTACAAAGAATATATCACTCTAGGTATTGAATTAGTTAAAAAACGAAAAAATATATATAACGTAAAGCTTTTACTCTTGTTTTTTTTTTAACGATTTCATTTTGCTGATGAAAAAGCTTTTTTTTTTTATTTTTTTAACAAATTGGCATAGATAATTCAATTTTTATTTTAATCACAATTTATTGACTGCGGCTTTCAAAGTGAAAATAATAAAAAAAGTAGGTTATTCATTTACTTCGATCTTAAATTTTATAAATTAATTCTCCTTTTTTCCTTTCATTTTACGGTAATTAGTGAGTGATCCAAGCGATCATGTTCACGCGATTGATATTAATACAGGAGAATTATCCACTACATTTCAATCTCCCATATTTAATAACGAATGTTATGATTCCAATAATAATAATACAAAAAACTCACTTTTCGACAATGTAAAGTCATGGTATAAACCAGTTTACGTAGATGCGCCAAATCATGAAAAACCCAAACCACGTTATTTTAATGGTCAATTAAGCAAATCAAAATTCATCCTAATTCATTTTATGATGATATCATTCTTATTCACTATTATCTTGGCGCCATTGGTTTATTTTATAATCATACCAGCAATTTTAAGATATAAAATAAAGAAGCTTGATTTAAACAGGATAACAATTGATTATATGGACGTGAAAGAATGGAAATCCAATGGATTGAAATTTTCTTTGAAGGCTATTATACCAAAACAATTTTTTCTTCCAATGCAAACAAAATTAGCTGCTTTAAATTTAACGTTGCATGATGCAAATTCAATTAGTCTATTGAAAATCAGCGTGCCCGAAATGGAAATTAATATTGGTAAACCTATCGTACTTGAATTTGAAGGAGATGTTATATTTAAAGAAACCGGATTAAATAATTTAATTGGAAAATTTTCCCAGCCTGATGGCTTACAAGAAACTTCAATTTCTGCTGATACTCAAATCACTGTACAAATGTGGGGTGTCACTTGGTATAAGAACTTGGATGTTAAACGAATCCTTAAAATACCTAAATTGGATGGAAATTTAATGTCACTTTGGAATAATCTGCCTAAATTCTTATTATCCCAAAAAAGTAAATATGAAAATGTTGTGACAATCATTTTTTAATAAAATAAATAAAAAAAAAATAATATATATATATATTTGCATTGTATAGTACAAGAAGTGATGGTGGCCAAGCAAACCGTTGATACTGGAGGCGTTAATGCGATTGACTCTAATAAACCTCTTATAATAGATGGAATTGTATTCTGGCAAATCCTTCCAGGGGTAAGTTAAATTTTGCTGAAATTCTTCTGCGCCAAATACAGCGCCACAATTAATCATTCTTCACTTTGATTCAAAAAATGTAGTTTCCACCAATCAATATAAAAGCGTTGGACATAGTGTTTACAGATGCGGGACCAAGTATTACATTAAAGGCATTGATGATGAATCCAACGGTTCTTTCTGTAATTTTACCTGACACAACTTTTGGTCTACAACTGGAAAATTCTTATTTAGCGACAATTGATGTTAAAGGATTTAATTTAACCCAAGGATTAAATGATCTCGACTTAAATTTACGATTCACCTTTGATGAAAATAGAATTGTAAGTCCAGATCAATTAAGCAATTCGATATCTGAAGCGATAGGAAAATTACTTGAAGTAGATGAAGTAGATGAAGGGTTACGGTTCAATATCATTGGACCAGTTGTATTCAAAGATGTTGACATTATTCGAGAAATCACCGAAAAATTATCCCTAGCGTTACCGATTAATGAAATTATTGAAAATAATAAATTGTTAATAAATCTATTGAATGCTAAAGGAATCGAAAATTTATTACACAAGATACATTTGGATATTAAAGTACAAGGAGATCAAATAATCATTCCTGCTGTCATCACCATACCAAGCTTCCTTCCTTTACCGCCAAGCTTTGAATTTAAATATAATATTTCATTTGGAATATTTAAAGGAGAACAAAATGCTCTCACGGTAGCTCTGAGTGAAATTTCAATGACGAATGGTGAAACGTTAAAGGTTCAAATTACGGTCACCATAACACCAAATAATACTTTGGAAGCGGCCGACGCGTTAGCTTCGATAGTAAATCCTTCATTATTTGGAAACATTTCAAGCGCTGATATAAAAAACTTTGAAATTTTAAAAGAAACAGGAGAAACATTCCCTTGGGTCGATCGATTGCTTGATAGAAGTTCTCTTAATATTCCTATTCCTGGGTTTAATACCACTTCAATAATTAATATGATGACACAAAACGGAACAAATTTACCAGCGAAAATAATTGAAATGGAAGTGATGCAACGAAGTGACGTAGCTGGATTCGATATTAATGGAATCGTTGCGATTGAATATCCTCCAATCTTTCCAATCATTACTATTAGTATTGGATATGTGGATGCATCTATATTTATCGATGATAAATTGTTAACAACTGCCAAACTACCTAATGGAATAGAATACGCTGCAGGAGAAAATGCAACAAATATTGTCGCTTCCACTATGTTTAATAAAGATGATAGATTGAAATCAACTATTGCAGATTTAGTTATAAGTATGAAAGAAATGCATATCATCAGTCTTAGTGGAGTTAAATTAGGATCAAGTGAAGTTCAAAATTTTGTCACATTTAGCAAAGTGGTGGTACCGATTGATTTATCGACATTAAGATCAACAATTAAAACGACGATAAAAACAATCTCACAATCAATTCAACAACAAACTGGATTATTATCAATAACAGGAGTTGATTTTGCTGTCATATCCTCAAATTCTTTATCAGTTAATGCTCAAACAAATCTTAATAATCCAACAAACATAAAAGCTAATATTGGATCAGTATCATTTATAACTACATTATTTTATGGAGAATTGGTTAACTTAACAATATCACCTATTAAATTCTCATTAGAAAAATGTCAATTAAATTTACAAATGAAAATTGAACTTGTTAATGGTAAAAATGGAATGTCAGATAATATTTTAAAATTATATAATGATTTAATCGACACTGAAGGAAATTTTAGATCAATCATCGGAATTAAAAGCTTGATGATATTTCCTCCCCTTACTCAAAGTGAAAACTCTAATGTTACTTTAGCCACCATCGATCAGTTTTTTAATGTACATATTACAATTCCTCCTTCATATATACCCGCCGAAAAATTAAGATCTATTAATTTATTAGAAATGATTAAAAATCCACAAAATATTATGATCGATATTTCTGGGTTATTACCAACATCAGAAACAACGTTCGCGATTCCAACTATTTCAAGCATTTCAGTCGAAACAAAGGAAAATTCTCAATTACAAATTCAGTCAGCCATCAATTATACTAATCCATTACCTATTAGTGCCAGAATTCCATTTTTTGGTGCTACCATCGTATTGGATGGTAAGAATCTTGTTACATTTGGAATTAATCAATTTGATGTTGCAAGAAATGAAGGAAATATGAATATTGTTTTATTGATGAGATTTGATAATACTGTCGGCACTAAAACAGCTGTCAATGACTTCATTAAAAATATTTTAAATGGAAAAATCAAACAAAAAATCGAACTAAGTGGAATTTATTTTGGAGGGACAAATGAAGAAGACAATGATTCATTAAGTTCACTTAGTCTTCCATTACCAACCGATTTGATTGATGTTAAATTAACTAAGGATAAAATATTTGAATTATCACCGATTAAATTACCGATTAATTTGAACGAATTATTATCTTGTCTACAATTACATTCTGTCGATATCACAACGTTTTCTGATAGGATATTATCATTACAAATCGGAGCTAAATTAAATCTTCCATTTGAAATTAAAGTTGATATCGATTATTTCGTTATTAATGGAATTACATTAGATCACACTCAATTTACTTTCATTGAAATATTTGGAATTAAGAATCAAGGTGTTGAGATCAATGATATTTCACTTGGGATTCAATGTGCATTTAATAATGAGGAATCAATTCCACAATCCGTTAAAAATATTTATATCTCTTTAATTAATGGTGAATTCATTTCGACAATAGGTGGCATTAATGGGATTGCATTTGGAATTTCAAAAGAAGATTCTGTTCGTACGCTTGAACAAATTTCCCTCTCAACAGGAATTGGAAATTTAATTACCGGACAATTAAATTTAAATGATTCTGTTTCAGACATTCATAATGACAATAATTCAATATTGATATCAATGGATCAAGGATCAATTTCATTAAATATTCCAAAATTAGTTCAAATGGTTATAAGTCAATTGGAAATTAACTTTTTACCAGGAAAAATAATTGAAATAATAATAACAACTTCAATTAGTATACCATTTTCATTAACGATGAATATTGGGTTTGCTGGCCTTGGAATATTTTTGGACGATCTATCAACTGTTGATATATTATTGTCTGCTATGAGTAAAAAAGATTCTGTTTCAATCACTACTTTGGTAATAATTAATGATTCCGATGAATTGGCCAATAAACTTGGTGAATTAACTCAAGATTTCATTAATAATACTCCATTGAAAGGAAATTTTGTAATTAGAAATCCCATAATCGGTATATCGAATGATGACAATATTAATGCCTTATCGTTAATATCTTTAGAGTTATCTTTAGAAAGATTAATTACACCGATAATAAAGTATATACCAAAATCAATGGATCCAATTACTTTAATAGATCAATTTGGATTTCAAATGGATGCATTGGAAATTTCATCAACCGATCAACATTCAATGTTGGTAAATGTTAGAGCATCATTTAAAAAGAATTTCCCTATTACGATTGAACTTGGATTTATTGAATTATCATTAGGATTAGATTTAATTAATATCATAGATATAAATTTATCAGAGTTTTCAATTGTTTCCGGTAATAATAATAGACTTTCCATCGTATCAGAATTGGTATTTCAAGTATTAAATGATCAAGTTCCGGATAAAATTGCTTCATTTGTAAATTCTTTACAACGAAATAGATTAGGAGGTACAGGTGAATTATTCAGTATTAAGGGATTTAAGGTCGGTGTCTCTCTTGATGATCATATTAAAGTTTTTGAAAAGGTAGTCGTAAGAGTTCCAACTTCCTCGATTCTTAATCAACAAGTCGTCGAAAAATTATTAGGAATGTTTGGACTTTCTTTAACAGAGTTAACGATCGATGAAATGTTAAATCGATTAGATATTGGTAATATTGTAATTGACATGAACCCAGATGGACAAGAATTGATTATTAATGGAAAAGTAGGAATTAAAAATATTTCGCTTCCGCTAAATGTTGATTTGAGAATGATTGAATTATCAGTTGCATTAAATGCTTCGCCACTCGCAAGAATAATATTACCTGATATCAAAACGAGTTCGTATAATAATGTTATTACAACATGTTTTACCGCTGCCTTGATTTTCCAAGATTCTGATGAATTACAAGAAGAAATAGCGACTTTAGCCAAATCTTTAATTGAAGGAACTAATGATACCGTCATTTCAAGAAATGCAAATATCAATGGACTATCATTCGGTACTATAAATATTTTTCGTAAAATGTCAATTTCTCTTCCGTTAAATCCAATATTACAACCTATTAAAATGAAAATTACAAGTATTATTAAAGGATTTATATATGGTACCGGACGTGTTAAATTTGCTTTGGATGATGTAACAGTTGGGATTAAAAATTCAAACACATTAATCACTGATGTTATAGCTGACATAATCGGACTACCAGATATAACTTTTAATATTCCATTTGCAAGCGTTGATGTTGCAATTGATGATGAACTCTGTGTGTCAAACATTGTTAACGGAATGAAATTTGAAGGTGGTAGATTCACGACTTCAGTTGAATTAATATTTCAAAATAATAAACAACTCGCTAATAAATTAACGGTTGTGGGATCAGATTTAGTATTTAGAAGATTAATTTATACTATAGTAATGCGAGTTGGAGTAAGTAATTTAATATTTGGACCTTCTTCACAAAAAACTTTTGGATTCACGAGAAAGGTTGAGATAGAAATGGACGTAGGAGGACTCATTAATGAATTCTCTGAATTCAATCAAAAGAATAACTTATTAATAATTGATAATATTCAATCACAAATTACTCAACAAGGAATAGATGTTTCATTCACTGTTCCTGCTATTCCGAATTTACCGTTAAACGTCAATATTCATTCACTACTCGCTCACGTATTTTTTCAAGACGTTGATGATGCTATAACCAAAGCTATTGGTATACTAAATGTGCAAAAAGGTCAATGTAAATGGGAATTTGGACTTTTCCTTGATATTGAAAATGGTCCAATGTCTCAAGCTCTAGAGATGGCTGTTCCTAATTTACTTAAATTTAAATCATATACTCATGGTGCTTTTCTTGGTTCTGTAACCCTTTGCAATTCTAAAGACTGTCTAAATCTTTCAGATGATTCGTTTAAAATATTTAATGAGATAACTTTCGTACCTCCTCCATTATTTTTATGGAATCCTATCACTGTGGATTTAGTTCAAATAATTCCTACGATTATTCTTAATGTTTCATTTAAAAATATTGGTCCACTTCATGTGGATATTGGTAATTTTGTATTATCATTAGAAAATAATGGTAGTTCAATATTTGAAGTATATTCAAGCCAATCCGTTGTCATTCAAAATGATTTAGAAAATTCTGGTCAAAATAATATACCTATGGAAGTTAAATTTACTTTAAATCCATTAGAAATTCCCAAATTATTATTAGACATAATCGATTTTGAAAAGGATTTTAACATTTCTTTAAGAGTGAGTAGAAATGAAGGACAGATCGAATGGTTAAATGATTTATTGAAAGAGTTGCCACAAACCTTTTGGATGAATTTCTTGCCTATTTTACGAGGATTATTAAAGAATATTAAATTGGGAATTGATTTAAATAATGATAAAATTCGACATGATACCGCCGTTGGAGTTGACAAAGGGTGTAGAAATAATGAAACTGATGTTAAAACTCCTCCCCCTAATACTGAAGATGCTATGGTTCCTAACGATTCTTCTACAGTTTCTCAAAACGATAATCCTTCTAAGCAACCTAAAAAACCTCCAAAAGGCAAAGAGGTTAAACAACTTGAACACAGAGAAATTCCATCTACCGAAGAAATAAAACCTAGTATAGGAGATAAAATTTTAGAATCTATTACGAACCCATTTGAATCTAATTCTTTAACTAATGGAGAAGGCAAAAAGAATATAATTAAACCCATCCTTACTTGGACCATTGGAATTTAATTGTATTTATTCATTCAGTTTTAGATATAAAATATCGGTTAATTAAATCTCTAGTCCTATATTTAGATATAATTGAATATTTCGATTGATATAAAATTTTTTTAATTTATTTTGATTAATTAAATATATATACAATCATTTGGTTTTTCTGCTATTATTATAATTTAATATAATGATATTTTTAATTTTATTATATAATTTAATATTAATTTATTGCATATTAAATTATTTTAAAATAATAAAAATAATAAGAACAATTTTTTATAATTATTTATAATTTAAATATTAGGATTTCTTAAAGTTAAATTGAATAAAAACATTAAGTAATTTAAATTTAATTGATATTTTCAAATCAAATAAATTAAATTTGATTAAATATTTGATTTAATTAAATTATGAAAAAATGAATTAAAAAAACTATATATTCTTATATTTATAAATTCGAAAAACAAATTAATAATAAAAAATACTCTTGAAGTTTTTACTAAATTTATATTAATATTATCTTATAATACTAATGACTGAAAATTAGTATTAATATAAGATTAACAAAGGATCTAACTTTAAGATTTTGTAGAATAAGAATTTATAGAGATCTTTAAAGTTTATACAGTCAATGTATAATTTGAAAATAAATATAATTACAGTTTAAATGATTAGAATTTTATTAAGTAAAATAATTTATTACAATTGTATTTATTTTTAATAAAAGTGTATTTAGTAACTATCTTATTGTTGATAAAACTAAAGTAAATTCTTATTATTAATAAAGTTCTATAGCTATTCTATTTATAAGAAATCAGATCTTACTAGTGTCTAAAACTGTTTTAGAACTATCGTTAAACTAGTAGGAAGCTAGAATAATTTCTGTGATATGATATACGTCATACAAAATGCTAAATAAATAAAATAAAGAAAGATAAAGCTATATAATTGATTATTAATATTAATTGATTACAAATGAAAAAGAAAATTCTAGCATCTCCTATACCTTTTACTTATAATATATCTATTATTTCTTATATATTTAACATATATGATATTTTTAAATGTATCATTATATATTGTAGATCTGCTAGTATCAATAGATTGGACAGATATCATAGCATAATAAAATCGGGCAATCTATTCTATTAGGTAATTTGCAATCGTTTCTTCTATTAATATTAGTAAAAATTTATTTTTAAACTTTAAAATCAATTTTTATTAAAAAAAATATAATAACAATTATTTTTTTAAACTTTAAATATAGATTTTATTAAAAAATTTTAATAATATATATTTAAATTTTAGCAATAACTTTTTATTAAAAGAATACTATTTTATAATAAGATTTAAAAAAACAAATATTTAATTTATATAGTAATATTATAAATTTTAAAGATTAATTATATTAAAAAAATTGATTTATCTATATTAATAACGTTTTATATAAAAAAAGTTAATAAAATTATATAAATATCTAAAAAAAAAAATTATTATAAATAAGTTTAAAAAATATATTAAATATAAATAATAAAATAATAAATTTTATAAATTTTTATATAAGAATTTAAAAAAATATATATTTTTTTTACATAAAATTTTTATAGTTTTTATATTATTCATAATAAAATAATTTATTAAAATATTAGAGTAATCTTAAAATAATAAATTTAGTTTTTTGTATTTATTTAATAAGTTAAATTAAATAATAATAGAATTATATTTTTAAAATAAATAAATAACTAATTTTATAGAATATTTTTAAATTATAATTATTTAATTAAAAAACAAAGACAGTTTTTAACATTAGAAAAAGTATTATAAAAGTAATTAATCTTATATTAACTTAATTTTTAAGCAGGTAAATATTTAAACATTCAAACCATATTGTATAAAATAATATAATTCTGAGCATAATGAATGATCAATAAAATTTTATATAAATATAAAGTTAATATCATTTAATACAAATTATTATTATTTTAAGATTACAAAATAATAAAAACCATTAATATTTATATATATTAAAATTAATAAATTTATTAAATAAGAATTTATGTTTTTAACAAAATATTGTTATTTTATAATTTAAAGTAATAAAATACAGTTTATTAAATTTATTATAATTTAAATTAAAAAGTTTTAATTTCATATTTTTAATATTAAATATATTATTAACAAATTATAATTTAAAAATAATATGATTCTAAAAATGTAATTTTATTACTATTTTTATAATATTTACATAAATTACTACTATTTTAATAATTAATTTCCACTTTATCCTAGTTTATAATTACTAAGTAATTTGTTGCTAAGAAGAAATTTAATTTGAAAAATGTTATATATTTTATCTTTTTAAAATTACTGATTATTATAGTTTAACTTACTTAAATTAGAACTATTCTAATATTTTTAAGAAGTTTGCATATAACTAATTTTTAGTATTAATTTTTTTTAAAATAAAATATTATCTTATCTATATAAATATTTAAATTTTGCTTTTTGAATCTAATCATTATAATTCTATATAGTAATTTAATTTAAATAGTAATCATTTTTAAACAAATACAAATTTATTTTAATTAATAATGAAAATTAAGAATTAATATATATTTGCAATTAATTAGAAGATTAATTTATACAATATATTAATGCAAGTGTAGTAAATAATTTAATATTTGTATCTACAAATTTAGAAAGATTGTGGATGTAGGAGGATTTATTAGTGTATTCTCTATATAAATCAAAGAAGCATCTATTAATTATTGATACAACAGCCGGTTTCATTCATAATTTGTCGTTAAACCTCAATTACTACTCGCTTACGTATTTTTTTTAAAGAAGTTTCTGATGCTGTAAATAAAGCTGTTGGTATATTTATTAAATGCGAAAGGATAAATATAAATGAGAGTTTGCCTTTTCCTCATTATTGAAAATGGTCTAATATTTCAAGCTCTTGAGATAATTTACTTGAGCTTAAATCATTTACTCAAAAGGTTTCTCTTGGTTGCACTTCCAAATACTGTGTTTAAAATATTAATTAATATCTTTTGTACCTCGTCCATTATTTTTATGATATTCTATCACTGTAGACTTAGTTTTAAGATTTTCCTTACGATATATGTGGATATTGGTAAATTTGTAGAAAGTAGTGATCGTTCAATATTTGAAGATTTTCAAATCAATTCGTTAAAATGATTCGGAAAATTCTGGTCGAATATTATACTCTATGGATGCAACAAAAGGTCAAATAATTTATTGAGAGTCGTTTGTGATGAATTTCACTATTTTACGAGGATTATTAATTTGGGCATTGATTTAATTAACTATTGATGATAAAAATGGAAATGATACCGCTATTGGAATTGGCAAGGAAATAATGAATCTGTGAATTTGAAGTTGCTGCTCCACTGAAGATGGTATAATCCCTAAGAAGATAATCATTCTGTCCGATATTCCATCTATTGAAGACAGTAGGATATAAAATTTAACTAGTGGAGATATAATTAAAAACCATCCTTTATTTGGTTATAGTACTAATTGTTCATAAAAATATTGGTCAATTAAATTCCGCATAGTCTTAATATACTCTGTAATAATTATATTTATAATATTGGCTTAGTATTTTGAGTTCGAATTTTTTTTTAAAAAAAAAATAATAAATAAAAATTTATTTTACTGTAAAAAGAAAATATATATATATTCTTCCAATTTATGTTAAACGGTTATGTACAGATCGTACTAAAAGGGTTATCAAATTATGAATTCACTTTTATTTATTATTAGAAAAACAATTCGAATAGGAATGATAGGCACATCTCGATCTGATCTTTGAGTAAATTCGATGCGATTACGTACAGAATTAAATTTGGAAATAAATTTTTATTTGAGATTTCTAAAAAAGAATGCCTAGCGTGATATTTATATTAATTAACAAAACAATCAAATAATATTTATATTGTATTGTGCACGAAAAAAGATATTTTTAATCTACCCCTCTAAATTTTAAAATAAATATTTACATACATACAAGGAAGGTGTAACGTGTATAACATAGATCTTATCAATCAAAAAAAAAAAAAAGATTGTATCATATGATTCTAAACTCTAAGGCTATATGAGACTACGATATTTTCCGTTGTATAAATAGGTTCTATTTGTTTAGGTTTATCCATTATCTCATAATCCATTGCGAAAGTTGTTTCGGAACCTTTTTCGTCGTCAGAATTAATATCTTGATTATCACCCTGTATCGTATCGAGTTGACTTACATCATCATCGTCATCATCTATAAATAAAAATTTTGTATAAATAATTAGTAAGAAAATTTTTTTTTTATATGATCGAGAAAATATTTATTTTTAAATTATGTTCTTACTTAAATAAGATTCAGGTTCTGCATAAATTATACAAGTTGCATCGAATTGATATTGTTTTCTTAGTAAATTAACATACAAAGGACGTGTTGGAGATTTGTCACAAGAATCTGTGTTGAACAAACATTTAATTAGTCATCCAATTTATTATTGATTTACAATAAAAAAAAAAGGTGAAAAAATTACCCGAACTTGCCAAACTCTCCGAGACACGATGTCTTATGCTACTTGCTTCAGCTAAAAAAAAAAAAAAAAAAAAAAGAAAAAATTAATAATTAATAATCAAAAAAATTTTTTTATTTTTTTTTATAAAAAAAATAAATATTACTTACTGTTTGATAAACTTCCAAATCCCGAATCATAACCAGTTCGAGTGTAGAAATTTGTGGGTTCAGGAAGATCTTTAAAGTTGAGTAATTGGCTATTATAATTGATTTCAATCGTAGAAGTAACATCTTGTAAACTATTTGATGGTTGAAAATATCTCTTTTCATAATTGCTAATCATGAATGCATTACAAATGTCAATAGATCGATTTTGTTCCAAATGAAAATGCCAGCGGAATAGCATTGCTGTAATTTCTTGCACACTTGGACGTAACAAAGGATCGGAATCCCAACACCTTTCCATAAGCATTGAAAATGATTTTGGAGTTCCCGACACGATCTTTGGTCTCATTCCGTTACAAATTTCAATAGCTAACTGAGTATCATGTTTTCTGTTGCTAAATAATGGCATACCGGATGAAATTTCCCACATAATCATTGAAAAACTATAAACATCGGCGGCCGAAGTAAATTCTTCTCCCCGTAAAACTTCCGGCGCTACATAAGGTAAAACTCCATATAGCAATTGATTTTTCTTATTATCTATAAATTTGGATAATGACAAATCATTTATTTTTGGATAACCTTGATCGGTTTGTAAGATGTTACCACTATGCAAATTACGATGAATGAATCCAGATGAATGAATATCCTGTAACGTCATTGAAATTTTTAAAAGAAAATCTATTTTTCGTTCCCAATTCAATAGATGATTATTCTTTGTTAAATAATTTCTCAAATTTCCTTGAGAAGCAAATTCGGTCACTAACATATAATCTTTCGTTGTGGGATCTTGAGTGATTCCATAGCATTCAACTAATCCATCATTATTCAATCCGCATTGGCGATACGTTTTAAGCTATTGTTATAAAAAATAAAATAATAAAAAAAAGGTTTCATGTAAACATTAAATTCAAGTAGTCGCCAATTGATGGAATCGTTTTAAATTACCTCTTCGAAAAAATCGGCGGGGATATTATGAGAATTTTCGAAACGCTTTATTGCAACTGGAGCTGGAGCACGACGAACCCATTTTTGTTTCTTTGAATCCCAATAAAGAATATTTCCTTCGACCCAAGTTGCAGAATATACATTACAATCAAATCCGCCTTTAGCGACAAATTGTAAGTTGTATAACTTTTCATAAGGGATCCATTCTAATACTTGTCGACTATTCATGGCATTTACTTGAGACTCTTTAATCAAATCATCAATCACAGGATTATTACTTGTCCATGAAGACAGTTCTTTCTCAAATCTAGTTGAATTACATGAATGACACCATCCATATTTATTATATTGAGGTTTATCGGTATTAGGTAAATTGCAATCCGAGCATAACCCAAAAGGTGATGTGGTTAATGACGGATATGGAAGATTCGGATACTTTTTACTTTTCTTATGAAAAAAGCTCATTTTTCCATTACTTCTACTAAAAACTTTTCGATCTTTTCCACATGATACTCCCATTTTATTATGATTATTATTTTTCTTTTAAAATAAAGGAAAAAAGAATAAAGAAAATCCTATAATTTGATTAAAGAAAATTTTTTTTGCTAAAACATTTATACACTTTTTATACCAATTTTCAGAAAGAAAAATTTCGAAACAAAAACTATACAATGCATCTTTGTTTATGATTTGACGTATTGAATAAAGTAAAATGTGTGTCAAAAAAAAAAGATCTTTTACTCGAAACAATATAATAATAAATTATATACTGTATATAAAAGTAAGCAAAGAAGAAAGTATCAAACAATGAACACGACATGAAATACACTAAGATAAAACGGCATACACGACATATACCAACCATATCTAACCTATCCATTGTATTTTCAATCGAACAGTTTTATTATTGGAAAATCGAAAAAGGTTTATTCTATGAAATTAAGGAAAAAAATAATAAAAATTTTTTTTTTGTCTTACAAACCGTAAGATAATTGCATGCATTGAAAATTGGCTTTTTTATTTAACTTTTTATTTTCAGAAGGAATTTGATAGATCTAAAAGATAAGACATTTGTAGCTTTGTTCATCATACTTTGATTTATACAATGAATTTTACTTCTAATTTTAGATCAAAGGCTCATACTAAATTAATTCATTTCTTGTTATGGTCTTTTCAACTTAAAATTAAATGTAAAACTGTTGTATGCACCTCCCTTAACATTGCATTTTGGAACACGACATTTCCCGAAATGTATGAATTAATAACCGTCTACCTTTTTTGTCACAATTTACTGCGTCGCAACACGCTGATTAACTTCAAATTAAGTCGGATCCAAAAATTTATCTATTTTTCTATATATATTTTTTTTTTTGACCTACAGCAGGGGCTGAAGGATGCAACATTTAATAAGGTTTTTATCGATGAACGGGAAAAATATTTCCGATTTTATTCAAAAGAACGTTTCAAAGAGCCATCTCATTTGATTATCTTTACTCCATAAATAAAATAAAAAAAGTTGACTTAAATTCAGTTTTAGATATGAATGAACAAGCTTTTTTTTCCTTCCTTTATTTCCCGAAAATAAAATAATTATTACGTTACTCAAGTTATGTTCGATCACCCAAAGTGACTTGCAATCTTGGAAATTTTTTTTCGTCGCACAATAATCAAACAATATTGTATATAGTGATTTTATCTAATAATCTAATATATTTTAATTAAATCTTCTATTAAATCTTAACTAAATTATAATATTTGTGTAAAACTAAAAAATTTAAAATTTCTTTCAATTAAATTATTATTTTAAATAATATTAACATTCTAATAATTATAACATATTCAAATTTTGAACTAGATTCTAAAACGCATAAGCTAAGCCAAACTTGTAAGCTGTCTATTTATGCTTAGTTGAAAATATTAAGTTATATTAAAGTACTAAACTGTTCAGATCAGGTTAGGTAATTGATTTGATCTGACCTAATAAAATCAAATCAGATCAATCATAAAATTAACCTAAATTATATATATATTTAATCTGATCTGACCTATATATTATAAGATTAAGATCAGGTTAGATTAGTTATATCTGAATTGATCTGACCTGTCTAAAAAAGCTATTTTTTTGTTTAACTAGTTTAACTGTATTTATTTTAAATAAAAATAATTCAATTCAATTATAAAAGTAATATAATTAATAATTGATAAGAAACTAAATATTTATTAATTTTGTTTAATATTTTTTTTAAAAAATATATAAAAATATTGATACATTTTATATATTATTATTTTAGTAAAGTATTTTTAAAAAAAAATTATTAATATAATAATATTTTTTAAAAATTCTTATTGTTTATTAATTATATAATTTAAAATTACAAGTTGCAATAAGTCTGTAAATCAGATAATTACTAATATGATTATAAAAAACATTTATAATTTTACAACCATTAATCCAATCATAATAAAAATTTATATTTACATATTTTCAAATCCATTAAACAATTTTACTTATATGACTAAAGATAACTTATTTGATCAAAATGCTTAAATTGCTTTTTGAAGTCACCAAATAGATAAAAAAGATAAATAATATTTTGTAAGATAAAATATTCATAACTTTATAACTATTAATCTAATTATAATAAAATTTTATATATACATATTTTCTAATCTGCTAAATAATTTTATTTATGTTAACAAAGTCAATTTCTTTTGATCAAAATACTTAATTATTTTTTTGAAGTAATTAAATAAATAAAAAAAAATAATAAATTGTTAATTAATATAATTGCAAAAAATATCTATAATTTAAATTTAACTTTTTGATTATAATAAACTATAAAGTAATTATATGTGAAATAAAAATCAAAAATTTTTTAAAAAAAAATTAGATCAAAAAAAATTTTAATTGTTTACTTCATTTTGATTTAATTGGTTAACCTGAATTTTATTAGGTCAGATTATATGAGAGCTTTGCAATAAAAAGGAAGGAAACTCTAAAAAAATTTTTTTTTGTGTTAATATTAAATCTGGATTTATTTTACAAAAAAAAATCATAATTAGCTTAGAAAGTAAAATTTTAATTTTTTTTAGAGTTTTCTTCCTTTCTATTGCAAAGCTTCCATATATAAGCTTGATCTGATTTAATATTGATTTGAAATTTGTTTACTTAATTATTATTAAAACAAAAAATGTGTTTTCTTAAAATAAAAATTTTTTTATATTAATGTCTAAAAAAAATAAAAAAATCTGTATTATAGTAATTTTATTTTAAAATTATAATTATTAATATATATTTAAAATATTATATCTAGTAATATAAATTTACTTATATAATTACATTTTTATATAAATTAAAAATATTAATAATTTTAATTAATATTTAATAAATATTAAATAATTAAAATTATTTTTAATATCATATATATCATTTTAGTATTTAGACTATTTAAAATATAATTAACTTTTTCAATAATCACATCTATTATAATCATATTGATCTATATAGTCATATTTATATAATATCATAAATTTTTTATATTAAAATCTATCCTATATAGCCACAATCTATTTATAATCATTATTATATTTATTTTTTCAAAAATCTATTACAATAAGATCTCTATAAATATATCTTCCTTAAATACACATCTTACATTTTTTTTTTATAAATGCATATTTTACATAACTTCAAGTAAATAAAAATTATATAAAATTTCTTTTTATAAATGCATATTTTTTTTAAATGTATATTTTTTCAAATTTTTGCTATGATTTCAAGAAAATGTATAGAGAATCTTATTATAATATGTGATAGGATTGATAGGACTCTAAATATCTCTTAAATAACTCACAAATGAAGTATATTAAAATATGTTTTACATAATAAGTCCGTCAATATTAATACTAAAAATATAAATTATTACTATTAGGTTTTTCTTAATAAAATAAATTCAAATTATTTAAATTTGTTAAATTCCAATCATTAGATACCTTAAAAATATAGATATATAGAATAAAATATATAACTTTTGGTAAAATTTAAATATAATTTTATACAAACTTATTTGTAAGTTATATAAGAAATAATTAGAATTTTTATATAACTATATAAAAAATATTTGATTGAGAAATAAAAGTTAAGTGCAAACCTGTATAATACTAAATATTATATATTATATATAATTTTATTATTGCTACAATTTTATTTATTCTTAAAAAATTGATTTAGAAATTTTAAGTTTTATATAAAGAAATTGCTAAAAATATAAAATCAGATTCTAAAAATTAAGCATGAGCCTTAACTATTTATTATATAACTCTAAAATTAAATAAAATATTCAATTATAATAGAATAATAACTATAATTATTCTCAAAAAATAGATTAAAAATGCTAACTTTAAGTTTTATATAAAAAAACTGTTAAAAACATGAAATTTATGCATTAAAATTAAGTTTAATCCTTATCTATATATGTATACCTCTAAAAATTAAGTATTATATATAATAATATTAATATTACAATTTTATTTATACTTAAAAAGTAAGTTTAAAATGCTAATTTTAAGTATTATACCCACTAAATTTTAATAAAATTCAAATTAACATCCCTCACTCAAAAAAAAAAAAATAAACATTAAATATAATTATAGAATAATAGAGCAGCTTAAGCTTAATAAAACTACGATATTAGATTTTCTATAAAATGATTTTCAAGAGCAGTAACAATTTAAAGTTAGGACATTTTATTAATAAATTGAATATTTTGGCTGTCCTATATATGATACATGAGATCAATATATTCATCATTAATTAACCAATTTGCATTTAAATATTAAGTTAGATTAGATATCATATTTTAATGTAACTGAATTGAGAATAAACATTATCTCATATTTTTTGTAAACAAATTTTTTCTTTTTAAATTCAAAATATAATCCTTTAACATTTAAACAATTTATTTCTCTTCTTTATTTATTTGAAAAAAAGTAAAATAAATATTTAAATAAGATAAGTATTTTAATTTTTAAGCAGTTTATTCTAAATACTATTATTACATTCATATCATTCACACAATCACTAATATTTCTTCTTTTCTTTTATCTATAGCTAGTATAAGTAAATATGTATTAAATGAAACTTTTATTCTAAATATTGATTGATTGTAAACTAAATCAGAAATCTGATGATATGAACAATATTTTTTGATTGCAAATTCTACTGTTCAGCCTAAAGATGAAGAACGAAATCCAAAAAAAGCAATTAATAAACAACCAAAATGATATTAAAATATAATAAGAGGTACGACAAAACCCGAAACTTGAAATTAACTGAAATTATATTAAAAACATAGTAAGAGGTATGATGAAATTATTTTGAAAGAGTTTTGGCGTATATCTTTAATCTAGCTTATTAAGCCTTTTCGGTATACATCCATATAGTAAATTACTTTTTTTACATACTGACTAATAGTTGTAAGTAAAACAGAAGCAAGAGCTAATATAATAGTTCTTTGTAATCCTATCTATAAGTAATTGCAATATGATCAGCTAAATTTTTTTGCTGCATCCCAAAAGTTCTTAATGTAATTAAGCTTATAATGAAATTTAGAATAGAATATAATTTGATGTTCAGCTATAATAATAGCCTCTTTTAATAGTCATTTTTGTGCTAAAAATCTGGTTATTAACTCATTACTTCTCATGCTTCTTCTAATTTTAACCTTTCATTTGGTCATAATAGTCATAAGTCTCTTTCTATCAAAATTTGCTTTAATTCTTTTGGCTGTTTACATAATTCAGTTATATGATAATCTAGTAGAAAGATTATGTACTATTGAATCCCTTTACCAAAATTTGTGTTACACATTTTTTGCTACTTTATACTGAGACTAAGATTTATATACTTAGTGATAAGTGCATTTGAAAAAAAGTAATGTGACTTGATGTATTATCAAATATAACCAAAACCTGACATTTTGGAAAGTATACTTCAAATATGGGAATAGCATATTCAATTACTTACTAAGTCATCAACTTTTTACCATCTATACCATCTATCATTGTTTTTAACTAAATGTATAATAATACAAGCTTTTCTAAGAAAGTCATCAAATATCTGCATTTGATTAAGAAGTATAAGACAGCTACAAACATCAATTAAAAAATCATTAATAAGAATTGAGTGACTATTATCATTTTTATAAGGGTTATTTATTATCAAAAATTCAAAAAACTTTGACTTCCATTGTAAATACACTCATCTTATATAATAAGAATAAGTTTTTATATATTATTACCCAATTACAGTCAACCCTTGATATAACGAATTTTATGTCCTGAACTTCAACTTCGCTATAGAGCTATAGTGAATTTTTTAAAGAATTTGATTGGCTAGTTCGTTATAACGAGGGTAAATTTAATATAGTTATCCAAAAAATTCGTTATATAAAAATTCGCTATAGAGAGGTATGACTGTACTTGTTCCTGTGATACATGTGATGTTTACTATATTAATATTACTGCGCATTTATCGAGTTCTGGATCAATGATTTCGTTATAATAAAACTTGATCGAAAAAATATTAGCATACATGCTTTCCACAACCCTATAACTAGTAAATTTGGCCCTTATTGCATCTTTGCTTTATTGATCGTATGAGAAAAAAATACATAATACAGGCTACATGATGATACTACTTCAAAATAAAATGATAAAATAAATTACATAATTTAATGATAGATAAACTTGTTCTACAAAGTGAAATAGCGTTTCTATATTAATGCTTACAGACCACACCAGTATTTTGATCATCTAAGCTATCTACACTAATACAATATCCCAACATTAAGTCTAATCCGATTTCATTTATCCCAACATCGATATTCTAGATAGAACAAAACTGTTATCAGTACATGAGAGCAAGTAATACAAATAAATCATTTTAACAAAACTATGTTATGCCTCTCATAATGCTAAAGTCCTTGAAGTCCTGAATTATAAAGAATTGCAAACATATAGCCACAACTAAAAAAAATAATCATATCTTGTTTAGTGTAATCTTTTCATCTGAAACTTTCTTCAACAACTTCTTTACTAGCGCTTCCGTCAAACTGCAATATGCCAGCTTCTTTTAAATGAACATATTTTCTTCTGCCATTTGATCCTGAAATAATAGTAACTACAGACCCATGTCATTTTTAGAGATCAATAACAAAAATTATTTTTATTTTGAGCATTATGGTAAGGCTAGTCAGGCATCTTGCATATTTATAATGAGAATATACTTTAGCGTTAGAAGATCTAAATCCATTGCATAAAAAGACTATAATATAAATTATATATAGCTCTCTTTTTTTTTGTTCAATTTATCACTACATGAAGATGATACACTTCTAGAGTCGAAGCATAAGTCCATAAACTTTGGATAGTTTCCTAAGTCCAAAGTGTAGGGATGATGTAAAGGGTGAGCATTTCTGCAAGACTCTCATCTTCTCTTTCTACTAATACACCTTCTGGACGTGTCCATAAACTTTAGAGGTAGTTTTCTAGGTCTAAAGTATAGGATAATGTAAAAGGCGAGCATTTCTGCGAAGCTTTGGTAGAAATACAATGGTGAGCATTTCTGCAAGGCCCTTTTTACAATGAAAGAATTTCTATAGATTCTATTGATCTCAGTTTTTGATATAATCGATTTCATTATACCTACACATGATTTGATAAGCCGAGACGTGTAAATTATCCAATAAAATTTGAGATGCATTTTATTATATCATTATGAGATCTGATTTATCATTTTACTCTTATTCCTTCAAAGTTAATCATGGATTATAAAGTCCCTACACATATAGAAATTGATACTTATTTTTCTACTAATCTGATATCTGAATGGCATTTCTCAATGCTTATATGAATTCCAAATTAGGGACCAGCTCACTTTTGATAGCATCAGATTTATATAGGTCCTTTCATAGATCATTGGCTATAGTTGAGAAAAACGAGGTTGGCAGTTATTCTAAATACATTGTGAAATATGCAAAAAAGCTAAAGACAGCTGTTAAGGTAACCTTTCGCTAATAAATCTCACCTTTCAAAAGCTGTTGACTAATCAATAATGTTATAGTTGAAAAAAAATTTTTATTGAACTAGCCAAGAAGATTATTGATCGCATTGATCAATGGGAATTAATGAGAGAAAATAATATTGATATTTGTGAAAAACAGATGAGATTTTATCACTATCCTTTTGTTCTTCATATAGATTATCATTAAGTGTTAATGCAATAACTAACTTTTAGACTGTGCGGAATCAAGCATCTAAATCAAAAGCATTAGACAATATAACAAATGCAATTACTGAAAAGTGTAAAAGAGATAGTAATGACAATTATGAAAATAAGCTTAATAAAGAAATGGTAAGAAGAACATCATTTATTTGGTTTCATTACCATCTTTAAATATTTGGACATATTGTTTATATATTTTAATTTAGGTCAAAGAAAATTATGCTACTTCTGCAAGAGAATCCAGTAATGACTTCACAATTTCCTCATTCAGTATTGAAATGAGCTCTAAATAAATACTTATCTTTAACACACTTGCAAGCCTTCTAATTATGTAATTAAACATTAAGTTTTGAAGCATGTTCTCTTAATTGTTCTAGAATGAAGTCAGCCAACAAATTATACTTTTCTAGAAGCTGTTCTAAAATCAAAACAAAGTTATTAGTTTTGGATTTTCAGGTCTTTGGAATGGTTGCTTTAGTAGATATGCTAATGATAAGTAGATTGCGATTATTACCTAGTTATACTAATCTACTTATTTTTCAATTCGAAAAAATTCCTTAATCAGACACTAAAGCAAAGCAATTTTGAATATCTATAATAAAAGTGAAGATAAAGTTTTAAGATTATTAATATCAAAATTACCTCATATAGATCATCTATCCTATTAATACATCAAGAAAGATAGTTAGATTTGTGAAAAAGGATGCTAGAATACTTCAGGATGTGCCAAACATTATAAAACCCATCCTAAAAAAATATGTACAATTTGTAATGAGAAAACCTATTCTGATACTGAAATCTGTAACACATATAGTGGAATTTATAAGAATGACTGACGTAAAGGTAAAAAAAAAATAAAATGGAATCAGATATAGGTTGGGATACCTAACTGAAATGCTGAATAATGAGCTGAAGTACTATTTTTCCTGCCTTGTAGAATCAAAGAGTTTCTAAATCTCGTTATATAGTGGAAGCTCTGGAGTACCTTTATCTCCAAAACCAGTACCATTATATTGCTAGCAATTAATTTTGTATGAATATTCCCAAACTCGCTGTTCCTTGAGACCTATTTTTTTCTGATTACTTTTAACTGTATAGTCACACCAATTATCAGTGATTGCATTAATTGCTTTTATAGCTGATTTAAGTGATTTAAGATCTGGTATTTTCTTTGCACGAGACTTAAAACCAAAGAGTAATAAAGATTGGTTTCATATTTCTATAAATCTTTCACAAGACCATATAAATGATTCTAATACAGTATCACTAGAAATAATACGCCTGTCATCAATACCAGTAAAGCCTAATACTTGAAAAAGTTCCCTTATAACCTTCTAATGATTTACTGAATAAGTTTTTCGCAAGTCTTCTGCTACAGATTTTTCAAAATTATTTTCAGCTTTAAAATAGGTATCCTCCCACTGTGCAAAGTCTTTAATAACTAAATCTTCTATTGCATTATCTTCATCGCATTCTTATCTTCAAAGGTGAGATAAGAGCAAAAAATATTTTTGAGGTTCAGATAGGTTAAAACGTTCTGCAAACTTCTTTTTGCAAAGATTATTCCAGTCATTATTACTCATATCTTTACAACTATAAATATTTCACATGTAGAATCAATCAGAAGCTAGTCTACATCAATGAAGTCTTAGCTATCAAACATGAGCGAATTGAAACTGAAGAAGACAAGAAAAATCGCAAATTCCAGATCAGTGCATTCAGATAGCTAAGAAAATTCTTAATGAGAAATCTATAATTGAATATCGCCCTCTTTCATGCAAGAATTAGAGCTTGATGCCTTCTTCCAAAAATACCAAATTGCATTGGAAATGCAAGGAGTTTAGCATCGGCTTCATAGCACTAGCTGGTATAAGGATGTTAAAAAACTCGAAGACATTATTAATCACAATCGGCAAAAATGATGTATATATCAAGATAATGTAATTTTTCTTTTTGAAGTATGATACAATGAATAATCAGAAATTGTTATTCCAGAAAGAATACAAAAAATTAAGGAGTTCATTAATAAAGCATCCAATAAACCTGAATCTGTACAAGAGTTATTGGAAGAACTACTCTTAGATAATGACCAACTTCAGACTATAAAATTTTTTCTTTCAAAACCATAGTTTCTGAATCAATAAGTATTAAAAAACTTGCCAATTTATTCTATCAGGCAAATGTTGCAAGAAATAAAACAATCATAGCAAAGCGATCAAAAATTACATTATGGTATTTATTTTCTAAAAAGTTTAAAGATAAGGTTGTGAAGCTTAGGTCTGAATAAGGTTGCTTATCTAAACTCATTTTGGATTTAGCAAAACGGTTAAACCTTTAGTTTCGCTAAATTTTTATTAAGTGTTTAATATAGTTTCGCCATTTTTATAAGCTTTGATATAGTTTTACCTTTTTCCAAATTTCGCAGATTTTTTAATAAGGTTTTAATATAATTTAACCAAGTTTTACTTTTACCATTTAGACGTCTGTTTAAACTCTTGATTTCGTTTAGCAACCTTAGATTTGAAGATAAGAAACTTGCAGATAAGACTGCAAGAACACAAATTTACGCTGAAATGAAACCATATCTTACGGGTATTTCCAATAAATATTTACGTATAATAACGTGTAAAGAAAGAAAAATCAATAAGCTATTTGGCTATGAATATGATCCTGTAACTCTGAAAAGATTGATGGTATACCAGGGTATATGGTTTAGCGGATCACTTGTAGTACTAATAAAATTTCAAGGCTTACTAATCCTCAAATTGAATATATTATAGAACAGGTTAAAGATATTCTGAAGTAGCAAGTATATGAGAAATAGTTCTAGGAATGTAGGAGTGTAAAATAAAGTATAAATTTGGTATTACATCAAAGTAGAATTATATATAGGAAAGAAAATAAAAAGTTATGCTTTAGTTTACTACCGATGATAGGCAAGAAAAGGGTCAGATAGGTATAGTATTTCACAAAAAATCTGATTCAATCCGAATTTGATCTGGATCTGACGGATCAGATCGAATCAGATTTATCAGATTCGAATCAGATTCAGATCCAGATTTTGATTTAATTCGATCTGTCAGATCCAGATCGGATTCAGATTTGGATTTGATTCAATCCAATGGATTCAGATTTGGATTCAGATTCAATCTGTCAGATTCAGATTTGGAATCAGATCCGATTTGTTGGATTTGAAATAAAAAATGCCACCCTGAAGTTAGATGCAGCATTTATTATTAAAAAATTTAATTTTTAATAATAAAATGCCGCCTGAAAGTCAGATATAGCATTTATTATTAAAAAATTAATTTTTATTAATTTTTAACAACTAAATGCCATCCCGAAAGTCGGAAGCAGCATTTTTTATTAATTTTTATATTAAAATGCCGCCCTGAAAGTCGGACGCGGCATTTATTATTAAAAAATTTAATTTTTATAATAAAACAGTGTTGGCAGGTGATCTTAAATGACCCAAATGACCCAAATGACTAGTCACAGGTCATTGGTCATTTCAAAGTTTAAATGACCTATAATGTAGTCATTTAAAAAATATAATAACATATTGTAAAGAAATTTATTATAAAAGATCATTCAATTACAAATTTATTAAAGAATCAAGCAAGATAAACAGCTGCTTCTAAAGAATTATTAAATAAATTTAATAAATCCCACTTTGCCATTGGATCATCTGCTGGATGAATTATATGACCCCCTAATTCAAATTCAATTGGTTCTTCACTAACATTATCACCATTATCTAAATGATTTTCAGTATCCAACATTTCAATCCAATTTTCTACTATTTGTAACCAATGATCTAAATCAAGAATTTTATTAGTATTAGCATTATCATTTGTATCATTTTCAAAATTAATACTTTCATCTCCTTCATTATCACTTAGATTAATTTAAGAATCATCTTGTTCTTCATCACTATAAGATTGCATTGGTGCAGCTATATGAATTCACTTATATTGTAATTCTGCTTTTTCAATTTCTTCATATTTTCATTTTTTTAATATATCACTTCGCAACTGACTCATTGATAATACCTTTTTATGCTTAAAAAATAAACTATAATTAATTATATAAGGTATTAAATATAAATTAAAATATTTATACTTACATTAAGATGATTTTGACGTTTTGTATGTAAAAACCCATACTAGACTAAAGGCGTTCAACTGAAGTTGAGTTAACACATATACTAAATAAATGTAAAGCTAATTGAGAAAGTTCCGGTGCTAAACTATTACAGTCAAACCTTGATATAGCGAACTCTTGATATAGCGAATTTTTAAATCAAATATATTAAAATTACCTTTACTATAGTGAACTAGCCAATTAAATTCTTTAAAAAATTCATTATAAGCTTATAACGAAGTTGATATCCAGATCCTAGAATTCGTTATATCAAGAATTCACTGTAGCTGATTCCCAAAAATCAATAATATTTTCATTAAATTGAGTATATGTATTAAAATCAAAAGGAAAATTTTCTCTTTGATAAGATAAATATTCACATAAAATAGAAGTTGGTAATTTTTCAAATTATACTTGATAATAATAACCTAACCATTGTCCAAAATATGTATAAGAAAGATTTAAATTATTAGAAAATATTGAAAGTCGAAATTTTGGATGTAATACAAATGATAATAAAAGGAGAAATTGTTCCCATTGAGCCTATCGTGTTTTTAAACGTATAATTATTTGATTGGAAAAAAAATCATTTTCATGATTTTTGAAAATTTTAATAATCCAACCAAAATAATAAACAATTTCATATATCCAGGCAATATCTTTTTGCAATTTATTAATATTCCACATAATAGAAATAGCAGATTTTGAAATTCATAAAGTTGTAACCAAAAATTAGAATCATTTACTATTGTTATAATATCTGATGAAAGGACTTTATTAGGATTATTATTTGTTGATAAAAAACGTTGTCATATAAGTCTACTTCGCGAACTGTTAGCTGTTCCAAATCTTTCTGGAGAAAATTTTGTAATTAATGTCTAAATAAATAAAGTAAATAAATATTTAAAAATAAAAAATTTATTAAATAAAAAAATTAAATAGAAAATACTTACTTTAAGAGCAGCTTCTGTTTTTAATATAGAGTGAAAGCAAAAGTAAAAGCTATTCCAACGAGTTTCACCTGAAAATAATTTGACCATAACAAGATTTTTGCTTCTTTCTTAAAAGACCCGTAAAATATTATGAAGAATGAAAGTAACTAACAATTCATACTGCATTTTTTGATATTATTTTATATGATTCAGATTCTTTAAAGATATCTCCAATTATTAAATTTAATTGATGGGCCATACAAGGTATAAAAACTTTATTCAGATATTCTATTCTTAATTGTCATCTATATAAATTTAAAATTTATAATAATAATTAATATTAATTAATTATATAAATGCATTAAACTTTAAATGAATATATTTAATATATAATATTTGCCTTGCAGCTGCATACTCTCCAGCAGAATCTGATACATAGCAATTTATTTTAATTCCTTTTTGTTTAGCATCATCCATAATACTTTGAATAAGAAATTTTACGTCTTCAGTTCTTGATTGTTGATCACTAATATCAAGTGCTTCCCAAATTAAAACTTCACCTTGCAAAGTAATAAAAACAACACCAAAAAGATATTCCTACTTAATATTCGTCCAACCATCAAAAGCTGCTGTTACCCCAATTTTATTATTACATGCAATTTGTAAAATTGTTTCTGTTAATTGATTTGCAGATTTTGGAAGAATTCTATCACTTATTGCTTGTCGTCCAGGAAGTTTTAATGCAGAAGCAATAAAATTGAAAAGATCCTGTGTTTTCTTATTTTCTATAAATGAAAAAGCAAGACCATTAGAAACAATTATACATAATGCCAAATTTTCAAAATGTGTTTCATCCTGTTTTGATAATAGGCATGACATATAACTAGTAAGAATTGTCTGTTTGGTTGGGGTGGAATTATTATTTTTTTTTTGCAATTTTTAGGCTATTATCGTCACTTTCAACATCAATTTCATTGGTTAAATTTTTTGATCAGAAATTTTTTTTTCATCTTCTGGAACTCAACGTGAAAGAATTTCTTTCCTTTCATCTTCATTATACTCTCTCTCAAAATTTGGGCATTTTTTTAGGTGACTTTGGCATAACTTTGCTTTATTTGAAGCGAAGCATTCAACATTTGTCAAAGCAATAGGTAATGTATGTTGTTAACCTTAAACAGTCTGTCGTTAAGTTAACAATGATTATTTGCTAACAGTGAATTTAATTACGTCTAAACTATGAAAGAAATAAACACAAGTTTAATTAATTGAAGGGTCAGATTGTCTTTATCGATATTTATTATTTTGAAGATAATTAGTTAACTCTGTCTTTTATTAAAGTAAAGATGCAAGATATTTATATAAAATACATTAATAGAAAATAGATATTTAATAAAGTAAAGAA